CCATCCCCGCAGCAGCGAGCCCATGGGTGGGCAGAACCAGCCCCATCCCCGGCTCCTCTTTCCGGGATCAGGGATCAGCCCCACCAGCCCAGCCGCCGTATCCTGTTTTTGTGGAAAGTCAACCCCGCTCCCGCCTGCGCCAGGCCCTGCTCCCCAAGGAATGCCGCAGGAGCTGCCCCGGGAGGGCACCGGGACCGGTGCCAGCGGTGCCACGGCTGGGAAACCCCAGCGGCTGGCCAGCAACACAGTGGATGCGGGGACACCCCTTCCATAGCACCCAGGGCTGCAGCCCCTACATCAGGCACACGGTGGGGTGGCACAGCCCATGCCAAGGGGATGGAGCAGCCCTCAGGACCCCCTAAGCCATGAGCTAAGCAGTGGGATGCCCACTGGCATCTCCCGCTTGCGCACCCAGACCCACATTCCCATCGCACATCATATGGGGACGTTCCCAAATCCACCGTAACATTCCCCACGCACAGCCCAGCGCCGTGACAATGCCCACCACACACCAGTGTCCAAACACCCCTTTCCCCACCCTCACCCAGTGGGGACCTGCTGCAGCCCTGGGGAGCCCCCACAGCATCACTGCCTCGATAGGGCAATGTGGGGGCTTTGGAAAAGGCTGGATTACCAGGGAGATGGGCACCCTGGGGAGATGATGGGCACTGTGGGGGGAAGATGATTGGCATTGTCCATGCAGGCTGCAGGCAGCCAGCCCTTTGCCTCCCATCCCCCTGTGCGCCTGGGGAGGAAACAGCAGTTATTGCTCTTGGAGACAGCGGTGGCTGCTTTCTATTTTTTTTTTTTTATAGGTTTTTTTATATATTTTTTTTCCTCCTCTATTTTATTTCCCTTTGCTTTATAAAAAGCACCTGACCGCAGGAGGCAGACGGCTGCAGCCCACACTCCTGCCAGCACCGCCTGGGTACCAGCATCCTGCAGCACCCAGGGCCAGCAGCACCCACACAGAGCCCCCCCCCCCCCCCCCAGCACCCTTACTACATCCTGAGGCCATGTCCTCACCTCACCCCAACTGCCCCCAGCTTTGGGGGGCACCGCAGCATTAAGGGGCTGCCACCACCACCCATTGCTCCTGCACAAGCACTGCGCTGGTACAGCCAGGACGTCACCACCCCGGGGGTCCAGAGCCACCCCATGATGCGCACCGGCTGTGCTCACCCTGCTCCATGCATTCCAGCACGGATGGAGCCCTACGTCCCTGTGCTGGGTGGGATACGCACCCCATGGCATGCCTGGGAGCCGCACCACGGGGGTCCATGCCACGGTCCCACCCCAAGCCATGCTGTGAGCCCCAGCCCTGCCCCTCCACTCGCCGCCAGCAAACATCCTCCGGACGCTTGGGAAGAGCCTGATTGCTGCGGAAGGAAGGGCTGCAGGCGGGTCGTGCTCGGGGCTCTTCCTCCCCCCAGGTGCAGCAGAACGAGCCACGTCCCCCCCCCCCCCGTGCCTCAGTTTCCCCCCCCCATCCAAAACCCACAAGGAACGGGGGGTGGGGGGGGGGGGGGGAGCTGCACAAGCAGGACCCCAGACCCACGTCTGACCACGAGTAGCGCACCGACACCTCCGGCCGTGGGATGCAGCAGGTCCCTGCCAGGACATCCCGTGCCGGGGCGGGCCAAGCAACCCCGGCGCAATTTGGGTCCAAATCAGCAGAATTGGAGGGCCCCATGCGCCAGACCGCGCCCAAAGGGCCACGTGTCGCCCCGTGCACCCACGGGACATGGCCGGCAGCTCCCGTGCCCCACCGGGGCCTGGTGCGAGCGGTTCCCGGCCACCTTCCCCTCCCCATAGCAGCCCGGTCGCGCTGTCCGCCCGTGGGCAGGGTTATAATTAACCTCCTCGCATCCTGCGCCATGCACTGAGTCACTCCTCCAGCGAGCCCGGAGCAAACAGAGCAGCTTTTCCAACAGTCACCGACTTCCTCTGCCAGGGAGGCCGGCGGCACGGCTCCCCTCAGTACCACCGGGACACCCGGCTGGATGTGGCTCCACTCGGGTGCACGTCCCCTCACACACACACAACCCCCCTCCCCGGGGTGACAGCACTCAGGTGTCCTTCCCACTCTTCCCCACGCTGCAGGCACCCCAACACGGGGTGTGTGAGCCCGGCAGCCGGGCACAAGGAGCACGTTGAACAGCCCTGGTTACAGGGAGGGTTTTCCTTTACGTCTAAGTGAAGGTAAACGGAGCGTTCCCGAGCGGGGTCCCCCGAGCAGCCGGGGCTCAAAGAGCCGATTCTCGCCCTGCGCGTCCCAGGACACGGGTATTTTCCAGGCCGGTGGCCAGACGGTTGCCTCGGTGGGTGGCGCATCTGCCTTCAAACCCCACCGCTGCTCAAAGCGGGCTGGCTGGGAGCAGCTCGGCAGCCACAGCCCTGCGGAGGGGAGGCTGAAGCGGCCGAGGCGGGTGCCCGGTGCCCCGCTCCACCGCACCACGACGGTACCGGGCACACGGCCGGGTTAGGTGCCAGCTCCCCCCCAACCACCACGAGGGCTGCGGGGAGCCGGGTGCCCGGCACCCGCCCTCCACCTTGCGAGAGGCAATGGAGGCAGCGGGGTTGGAACCGCGACGGCTTCGGCCCCGCTGTCCGGTCACACGCACCCGGCCGCTGCCCCACGCTCGGCCCGGAGGAAGCGCAGCGCTTCCCGAGGGCTCGGTCCCGCATAGGGCTGCGGGGAGCACGCAGGGGGATCCCCTGTGGGGCTCGAAGTTGGGGTGGTGGTGGGGGGGAACCACCCGTCCCTCCACCGATCCGCCCGCTTCCCCCAGGGCCGGCAGCGGGTCCTGCCCGTGTGGGGAGCCCTGAGCGGGGACACAGCGCGCCCAGCACCCCCCCCCCCCGGCACTCACCGGCGAGCAGGGCGAGGGGCAGCAGCAGCCAGTACAGCCCCGCGTACAGCACCCGCCGCTCCATCCCGTCAGGCGGCGGCGGCCCGGGCCATGCCCCGCAGAGCCGAGCCGAGCCGAGCCGTTCCGCCCCGCCGGGGCTGGGCAAAGCCCCGCTGGCCGGTCCCGGAGCGCAGCGCACGGACGCGCTTTCCCCCGCCCCGCTCCCGCCGCCTTTATAAGCGGCGCCGCCCGCCCCTCTCGCGGGCTGGCCCGGCTCGGCACGGCTCGGCCCGGCCCGGCACCGCTCCGCTCTGCCCGGTACAGCACGGCCCGGCACGGCCCGCCCCGCCTAGCGCCGCCCGCCGGCACTGCAGGCGCCACTGCTGCCGCGAGTTGTCCGGGCTCAGCCCCGACGGCAGCGGTGGGGAGGACCCCGGAGCAACCAAAACCCCTCCAGTTGAGGCCCGCATTTAGGGCCGGTGTTGCCTGCATGGAGCCCTGCAGCCGGGGCACGGGGATGGGGAGCTGGGATGTGGTCCCCTGGGGGGCAGCCGTGCACCCCAAGAGCAGGGTCCTGTGTCCCCAGAGCCTTGTGAAGGTCCCGTGTCCCCCCAGTGCATGGCCACGCACCCATGGGTGCTGGAAGGAGGGGAGCTGGGTGCCACGGCCGGGCAGCAGGCAGCACCGGCCCCTAGCAGGAAGCATCGGCCCGTGGAATTCTCCGCATTCTTTGGCTTTCCCTGTTTGTTTCAGAGCACTGAATAACCTGGCACCCGGCCCGCACGTTGCCGACCTGCTCCCCACCTGGGCGGGCTCTGCTCTCATCCACGGGCTTCCTCTGGAATGCTCAGGGCTCTTTCCCCCACCCCAGAGGTGCCGAAGCCGCAGCCATGCAGACACCAATGCCCATTGCCCCCCCCAGCCGTAGGCAGGTTGGGCCTGAGGGCCCCCAGACACACGCATCCATCCGAGTGCTGCTGGACACGGCTCCTTGTGGGAGCAGGAACGGGCTGTGAGTGCCCAAAGCACCCCCAGCATCCTCAGAGCCCGACCGCATCCATCCTCATCGCCTGCACCCAGAGGGATTTGCTCCTGTAAATCAAACCCTTGTCAATGCTGAGCCGTGAAGCTCGGCATCAACCTCGCATCCATGAGATGAGACCAGGGCATGGAAATTAACACTGCAGACCCCCCCCCCCCCCATGCAGAGCGCATCTAGGAAGGGTGGTACCCGGCCCCACGCACCCACCGCACTGCAGCGGGGTGCGAGTGGAGGCTGTGCATGTCAATAGGCACCGGGAACAGCACCCCAGAGCCCTGCCTTGCACGCCCGAACGTGGCCCAGCTCCACTTTGCTGGCCTGGCTCAGGCTTTAAGGGAAATGAGAACCGAGCGGCCCTGTAAGTGCTGCGGGCACGGCCTGAGTGCACCGGGAGGCGTTTTATGGGCGAGCAAAGCTGCTCCCATGTCCGAGCAGTGCCATTAGCACACGGCCACGCTATGGGGCAGGGGGATGCTGGGGCAGTGGGCAGCCACGGAGCCCCTGCTCCCACTGCTGTCCTGGAACCATGGACGTGAAGGAAGGGGCTTCAAGGGGTGCCACGACCACCGCAGGCTCAGGGCTTGACTCGACACAAGCTGGAAACAAGCAGTTCCCCAGCGCCAAGCGCACTGGGGAGAGCACAGACAGGGGTGACCACGGGCCATGGGGCTGCCCCACACCAGCACCACTCAGACACCGTTTGCTTCTGCCCCACTCCCCCATGACCCATGTCTCCCCAGTCTCCAGCCATGGAGGGCTGGGTGCCCTCCTCCATCCCTGCCGCAGGCCGGGGCACAGGGCCGCACCACCCGGACCCCCAAGCCGGGAGCTCCGGTACAGGGGGAAGTCCGCAGACCCCTTTCCGGGAGGGTTGGATCCCCACAGACAGAAGCGCTATAAAAAGACGCGGCGCCTTTAAGATCCGTGTGGCGCCAATTCCTCCCCACGTGACCTTTCCCGCCCCGCGGTGGGCGGAGCTACAGCCGCGCGGGTTCCCGCCAAGGAGCGAGGGTTTTGGCGCGGTAGTGGCTCCACGTGAGGGGACAGCGCTGGGACCGGACCCCCAGCAGCACCGGTACCGGTATCAGCCCCGGTACCCGCCGCCGCCATGGCCCAGCTCCGCCTCACCGACTTCTTCACCCGCACGAAAGCGGCCGCCTCAGCCCCGGTCAAGAGCAGCAGCAGCAGCGGCGGCCGCCGGCTGAAGGCCGCCATTGACGGTGCCCCGGAGCCGCCGGAGGAGCGGTGCGGGGATGAGGCGCTGCTGCCCCGCTCACCGCGCACCCCAGCTCGCGGAGGGACCCCGGCGCTGCGGGGCCTGGCCGGCAGGAAACGGAGCCGCCGTGAGATGGAAGCGGAGCCGGAGGCCGGAGCCCGGCCCATGGGGTCGAGCGGGAGAGCGGTGCGGAAGAGGCTGGAGCTGCACCGGGATGCGGAGCCGCGGCCGGTGGCTGAGGTAGGGAGCGGAGGGGGTCGGGGGTGCGCCGCTGGGGCCGGGATGAGGCCCTGAAATGGGGATGGGGCCGGGGGGGGGGGGGGGGCTGTAAAACCCGGGCAGCATCTGTGGAGCCAACCCCCCTGTCCTGATGCAGGATCCCCCCCTCAATGCAGACCCCCGCTCCTGATGCAGGCCCCCCCTTCTCCTGATGCAGAGGCCTCCCCCTCTCCTGATGGAGGCATCCCCCGGCTTGCCCCCTGCCCCTAGTGCACCCCTCGTATATTGCCCCCGTTTACCCCCGAAGCGCAAGGCCATGGGGGACCCCAGTGATGGGCTCCCAGCGGGTGGGTTCCCCGAGCAGCCTCTAACGCTCCTTTGTTCTCTTACAGGCCCCCAGCCCCTCGCCTGCTCGTCCTCTGTCCCCTCCTGCACAGGACCTGGCAGCAGAGCCCCCTGCCAGCACCACGCACTCCCCCGGCCATGGGCAGGATGGGGCAGCACAGCAGCCCCACACGGCCCCCCCGGGGACAGCCGGGCGCCTGCAGCGGGTACGAGCCCGGTCCCCACTGTGCCCGATGCCCCATGCAGGGTGCGAGCCCGCACTGAGTGCATCCCTCCCCATGCAGGAGGACGTGGCCGGGCTGCAGAGCCGCCTGCTCGGGATGAATTTGCTGCCGCCGGGGACCATCCCTGCGGGGACCAGCGCCGACCTTCGGAGCCGGCTGGAGCGGGTCCGGCAGCTGGAGCTGCGGGTCCGGCAGAGGAGAGCGGGCAGCGGAGGCGCATCCGGAGCGCAGCCGCACAGGGACACCAAGGAGGCGGCTCCTGCGGCCGAGGCTGGGTGAGGAGCCGCGGTGGGGATGCAGACACAGATTGGAGGGGATTCTCGGGGTGTCTGGGGCTGTGGCAGCGTTGAACTGGCCCTGCTGTATGCAGAGGGCTTCTCTGAGCGTGGCCTGAGCCACCCTGGCTGTGCCGTGAGCACTGGGGCATCGACATCCCCAGGATGCTCAGAGAAGGGATATGAGATGGGTCTCCCCTATCTAGGCTGGGCCTGCAGCTCTCAGGCTGTGAGTTCAGCCCTGTCAGCAGCGGGACCCCATCCTGGCCGGTCTCTGTCCCCATCTGCACCCTCGGGGCCATGTTCACCATACCCGGTGGCTGTTGTGTGCATGGGACCCTGAGCCCTCTCCTTTCCCAGCAGGCAGAAGGCCCCCGCGTACCAGCGGTTCCACACGCTCGCACAGGACGTGCCCCCGGGGCTCACGCTGCCCTACAAGTACCGGATGCTGGCGGAGATGTTCCGCACCGTGGACACCATCGCCGGGATGCTCTTCAACCGCTCCGAGACCATCACCTTCGCCAAGGTCAAGCAGGGCGTGCAGGACATGATGCACAAGTAAGTTGGCAGCAGTGGGCAGCCCCGTGTCGGGTCCCAGTTGAAGCTATTGGGACCAATGCCCTGTTTCAGCCTTTGGGGTTCCTGACCTCTGTGGGTGCTGTTGCAGGCAGTTTGAGGAGCGGCACATGGGGCAGATCAAGACGGTGTATCCCACCTCCTACAAGCTGCGCCAGGAGAAGAACATCCCCTCTTTTGGCAAGAAGAAGTCTGACTATCAGCTCACACTGGAACCAGTGCTGGAGGAAGGTTTGTATGGCTAAGGGGGAACCCTGAGAGTTGGGGATGTGCTTGGTCCAGGCTGGGATCTGTGGATCTCCAGGGATTCTCTCTGCTCTGCTATATCTGACGCGTAAGGTGCTGAAGAAAACACTTTGGGGACAGGTGGGAGGGTGATAGAGCAGGGATTTTGGCAGCAATTGAGCTCCACAGAGGGCTCTGATCATGTCCTTCCTGAGGCTTGGGCCCTGGCATGGTGTCACCGAGGTGCTGGGGGTGATGCTTATGTCTCTCCATACAGAGGAGAAGGTGGACGGGCGCCTGCACTTGTCGGCATCGCGGCTGCTGGAGCGCAGGAAGGAATTCAACCACAACCTGGTGAACATCGTCAAGCAGCACCACAAGGTGAGGCCCCAGCACCCTCCGCTTTTGGGGCCTGGGGTTGCCTTGGTAGCTAGGGTGGAAGGAGCAGGCTGAAGGACATCACTGGTTCCTATGGGATGCTGTTGTCAGGAAGGCGTGGATGGGGAGGATGGCAGCTGGCATCTGTCCTGGCACTGAGCTTCCTCCAAGCTGTGGTGTTGCCAACCTTGCTGGGAGCAGGAGGCAATGTCCAGCTCCCCTGTACCTGACCTACATGTGCCGTGACACAGCTCTCGCCCCTCTCCAGGCATTCCTGGCTGCCCTCAGCCCGCCCATGGTGGTGCCGGAGGAGAAGCTGACGCGCTGGCATCCCCGCTTCAACGTGGACGAGGTGCCGGACATCATCCCTGCTGAGCTGCCGCAGCCGCCACAGGAGGACAGGGTCACCACGGCCCAGGAGGTGCTGAGCAGGGCTCAGGGGGTTCTGAGCCCCAAGGTGAGTCAGGACCAGGGTCTGGCTGTGTCTGTGGACCTCAAGCCAGTCATCCCTTTGGGAAGATGTTTATGGATGGTGGGGGGGAGGACCATTTCTGAGCAGCAAGACTGAGAGCACTGTCAGATGTGGGCAGGTGGGAGCACAAACCTGGTTGTTAGTGCTGCAGGATGGGGCGTAGGACTGGCTTTGGGCTGGAGGAGCTGTCGGTACTGACTGGGGCTGGGAGAGGAGATGAAGCATCCTGATCCGTACCCCGCACAGGCAGGGATGGGTCGGGAGCACTGGGCTGCAGTGTCAGCGGGGGCGTTGGAGGGGAAACTTCTCCTTCCTGCATCGCGATCGGTTCCCAGCTGTAACCCAACCCCTCCTCCCTCTTCTCTTCCACATGAGCAGATGGAAAAAGCTCTTGCCAACCTGGCCTTAAGAACCGCTGAAGCCGGAGCAGGGGAACCAGTGGTTTCCAAAGCACCGGCCCCTGCCAGCACCTCCAGTGCTCTCAAAGGGGTGTCCCAGGACCTGCTCGAGAGGGTGAGTAATTCAGTCCTGGCCCTAACACCAGTGCTGGGGGGAGGAGGGACCTGCCCGTGTCTCACCCCATGTCCTCCCGTCCCCAAGATCCGTGCAAAGGAGGCGCAGAAGCTGCAGGCGCTGATGATGCGGGATGCGCAGCAGGAGCGGCGGATCGGGATGCTGCGGCGCCTGCCGGCCATGGCCCGCATCCTGCGCAACATCTTCGTGGCCGAGAAGAAGCAGGCGCTGACCATGGAGGTGGTTTGTGCCCGCATGGCCGACAGCTACGACGAGCAGATGCCTCCGGGTAGGGGAAGCGTTCTTGGGGTGATGGTTCTTGGGAGCAGGGGAGGGTGTTTGCATTTGGAAGGGGCTGTGGAGCGGAGCGCTGACCGCAGCGGCTGCTGTTTCTCTTTGCAGGGGAGATGGAGAAACACTTGAAGCTCTTGGCAGAGCTGTTGCCCAACTGGGTGGGCATCCACACCATCAGGACGGACACCTACGTCAAACTGGACAAAGGGCAGGACCTCGGGATCATCGCCGAGAGGCTCACCAAGGTGGTGAAGGAGGCAGAAACCCTCTGAGCCCCGCCAGGGTGGAGGCTTCCCCCGTGCAGTCTCCTGTCAATGTAGCAGATCCCAGTGGGATCCGATGTGGGTTCATCCTCAGGGATGTCTGAGAACAAAGCGCCTTAACTTAATTCCTCTGGCAGGGTCCATGAGGACCGTAGCTCTCCTAACCCTCAAGCTGAAGGCAGGCAGTCCTGCAGCCTTGGTGACAGTGCAGGTGGTGGAGAGGAGCTGTAGTAACCTCTCCTCAGCTCTGTTGTATTCTCCCTAAGGTTTGATGCAGGAGGTTTCTTCCATTAACTGGGCTCTGTTGGGGGGGAGGCAGGGTTGAGAGGGGTGACGAGTCAGGAAAGGAGTGAGAGAAGAAGTCACAAGTGGATGTTTTTGGAGCTCTGGGCCTTGTTCTGTTTTTTAAGGGAGGGAAAAACGCATCCCCCAGCACTCGCTGGAAACAACTACAGGACTTGTCAAAACACATTTGTATTAAATGTTTTAAATATAGCTGACTTGCGTTAACCCAGCGCGGAGCCCCGTGAGTCGCCTTGTCTGCGTTAGCACCGTGGCTCTCCGAGGCAATTGGCACCGGCCAGGAAGGGCTTGGGTCAGCATCCAGCTCCTGGAGAAACAGTGACTGGAAAAAGTGAGCGTGGGCTTGCAGGGAGCTGAATGCAGCTTTTGTACACGGGCAGCACAAGCAGCTCCCTATGGGGCAGGGGTGGGTGCAGTGGGGGGGGTTCCCAAGGGAAAGCCCAGGCCACTTGGCTGGAGTGGGTTGGGAAAAGGGACAAAGAGGGTGCTGATGGCTGCAGTGGTGCTAGCCTGGCCCAGCGCCCAGGTCAGGTCAGTGCTTGCAGCATGTAGGGGTGGGAGCTGCCACGTCGGGAGCACCTCAGACCACATCCCGAGCCAGACCGCACTGGGTTGAGTGTGGGGCTTGCATGGGACGGTGACCGATTGTCCCTTGGCCGTCTCGGTGGGGACCACACTGGAACTGGGAAGCTTCCCCACATGGTTTGGAGGCTGGCAGCATCGGGCATCCCCTATAGAGCTGCCTGAGGGAGCGGGCAGACCCTGCTCTTCCTCCTCCAGGACCCTGCTGCTTGTCCCGTTGGCTAGTGATGCTGGTGGGAGATAACCCCTGTTTCCATGGAGGAGGGTTTCAACCCATCCCATAGGCTGGAGCGATGCGATGCTGGGCTGTTGGCCGTGCTGAATGGACCGCACTGCAGCGGGGAGCTGGGTCCAGCAGCCTGGCAGCCACACGCCTGCCCCGGGTGAGCTCACAGAGAGCTCCTGTTCTGCTGCTTGGGACTGAACCCTCCCTCCTGCCTGGAAGCCACCCTGCACAGCCCCGTCTCTAGGAGCACATCAAGCGGTGCTCGCAGCCTGCCCAATGCGAAGCACCGTCCCCGCGTTCCCTGATGTCACCTCTTGGCCCCACTCGCTGCTCTGGCACTGGTAGGGCTTGCACAGGGCTCGCTCCCACTGCACGCAGCTGCTTTCCACAGCTCTTTGGGGTGGATTTTTCCCTTCTCCAGCTCACAGCAGGGACCCTGTCCTCGTGCCAAGTATGTGTGTGTGAGGTGCTGCCTCCCTTGGCTCCTCGCAGGGGCTGGCTGTGAAAACCAGTGCCCTGGGGTAGGTTTGCTCCCAAGGGAATGGTGTTTCTCAGCATAAACTGAACAGCCCTGAAGTGGCTTTTCAGGAAATGGTGATAAAAATAGCTGTATTAGCCCTTGCAAGTGTAAGGGCAGGGTGTGCAGCATCCCTGTGTGCTGCAGGGGGAAGGCAAGATGAGATGCAGGGGCTTGGGCTGTGCTCCCACCAGCACTGGGCCTTTCCATTGCAGCCCAGTAGGACCAGCCTGAGTGCCCTCCTCCAGCTAGAGCAGAGTGAAGACAACTGTAGTGCTGAGTCCTGGCTAGTGAGGCCTTCCAAGGATGTGGGGTGGCAAAAGGGAGCTCACATCACAGCCTTGCTTTCCACTAGCAGCCTGGGTTTGGACAAGACACTCACAAGGGTAACCAATGGCTTCAGCTACTGCAAAAACAGCTCTGAGACAGTTTAGAAAAGAATAAAAAGTGACTATTTATTTTATGAGTGAGTTCAGTCCCTGCTAGGACAGGGACACAGTCCCTCGTGCTTCCAGTCATGTGAAAGTGTTGGCATACTGAGTTTTAGTGATCAAACTGCACCATGCAAGAAGGAGCATCTCCAAACCCCATGTCACCCATTACTCAACCTGAATGAGAGCTGGAGCTCATGAGTAAACTAACATGTTTTCTTTCTTCCCTGTGCCCAAAACACCCTGACACCAAAACATCTCAACAAGAACAGACTCCAAATGGCATTGTCCTGTCAACACCCTGGTGCCCCAAGAAGAATGCAGCAGAACAGGGACTTGCATAAGTTGCAGTATACAGGGAATTTTTGCTAACCAAAAGGTGCCAGCCCTGGCTGGAGCTGCAGGCTTTGGTATGTGATGGACAGAAGGGAGGTGAAGAGCCCTGAGCTCATGCATGACCCGCATCCTCACTGCCTGTCACCCAGCTCTGGGATACTTCTCATGATGCAAATTGCTCCTAGTTTTGCAAATCCACTAAGGACTAATGGAAGAGAGACGGCTTCCATCTTAGTCTCCATCCCCTAGAACAGATCCCCTAGATCCTTCTTCCAAGAGGATGAACTCCAGAAAGGATCCTTATACTCAACACACCTTAATCTGTGGCTTGGAAAATTAATAGGACTTGTGATTATATAGCAGCTGGCCAGGATGAAAATTGTAGGTTTCCCCCCCACACACACCCCTTTACGACATCAAGAGTCACTGAATAAGACCCTAAACTTGTGCACAGCTCCGAGCGTGCATTCCCTAAGTAGCAGGGATGCTCCTCCTCAGTCATACTGCAGGAGGGAGTACAAAGGGATGGACTTGAGCTTTTCTGACCCTTTGAGGAGTTTTAGCTCTATGATCACCAGGCACTCCAGCACCTCAGCCTTCAGCCTCTTCACCAGCTCACAGGCTGCATACATGGTGCCTGCACAACATAGGGGTAAGAGCAGAAACGTCATCAGTGGTGGAGCAATGCCAAGGTAGGCTTCAAGCCCCGCAGCTGCTTGCAATGCAGGTGCACGTGGATCACACATGCTCCAACTCACCTCCAGTCGCAAGCAGGTCATCTACAATAACTACTTTCTGTCCTGCTTCCACTGCGTCACTCTGGATTTCGAGTTCAGCCTGCAGGGTGGAAAGAGCAGCTTCATTTTAGTCTTCCCTGACAGAGGAAACCCTTCACCAACTGCTAACACATGGTGGAACGCAGGCACGTCTTCAGCAACATCAGCCTTAGCACTCAGCACCTAAACCCCCCCAAAACACATACTCCAGCTACAGGGGAGTGCCATGGAAATATAGAGCAGGTTAAGTGATTGCTGGGCCAACCCTCTGGCACGTCAAGAGCCCGAACATTCATCAAGTGAGTTATGGTCCCATCAGGAAACCTTATCCCAGAGCAGTTCTCCAGTGGGGAAAATCTCCTGTAATGCACTGGGCTGGAGCACTCTGCTTTGACAGCACCACCAAACCAGACCCAAACCATCACAGGCACGTCCTGTGTCAGATGAAGTTGTCCCATGCAGGGGTTGGCCCAAGCAATCCTCATAAATAACGCCTGGGTTCAGTGTTTCTGCTGCTGGTCCCTGGCTGCTGTTAGTTACCAGCGGTAGCGTGTTATGATGATTAAACCTCTGCTCCTGAATCAGGGAGGCTGTGGTGTTACGAGGCGAGCGCTCGGTTCTGAAGCCATGCAATGAAGGCATTTATTTTACAGCACTTACTGGAAGAGTGGGAAACACACTCCATGTTCATGCCCCTGAATTCAAGTCAAAGAAAGTAATTTAGCACCAAGTCGTAGCACAAACCACCCCCAAAAATCACAGCAGGCCTCATGGACACAAACCTTGTGTCCATGGCTCAGGGATGGAGTTGCCATGCTGGAGCTCAGGGAAGCTCAGTGCTGCTCTTGAGGCTTGTGCCATGCCTGTAAGCACCAGCACTAGCTGTGAAACCCAGCCTGGGCATCCCCTGCTGGGTTTATCACCCCATCCCTTCACTGACACCCCCAGCCCTGCATGAAACCAGCCTGGAAACCCTCTTCTCCTCCCCAGGCATTACCTTGCCATACTCAAGAGCGTAGGAGATGGACTCAGTTGGACCGGGAAGTTTCCCCTTTTTCCTTATCAGCACGAAGCCGATCCCCAGTCTCTGAGCCAGAGGAGGGCCTATAAGGAAGCCACGGGAGTCCAGACCTATGGGGAACAGGGCAGCACAAATACTCAGACCAGAGCCACTGAACTGGGGGTGTCTTTGCATGATAACCCAGGTTTATCCTCCCATGTTCAGGGAGGGTCTCAACAAGCCATTTGCTCTTAGTCACTTATTTCTGTGGTTCAAAACACAACAGCGTGCTCCTGCACTGCCAGTGCTCACCAAGATGTGCTGCTGATGGGCTTCAAGGCACCAAAACTCCCCCCCCCCCCCCCAGCAGCCTGTTTTGCCTCCCTTCCAGCTCTTCTTCTTGGAGATAAGCTCAGTGAAGCCCCGGTATCAGTTCAGCCACACAACCAGGGACTTTGTGCTGCAGGGAGACAGGTTTTACTTATCATGAGGCACTTGGACGAGGTTTGGTCTAGACTCCTTGAACTTTGGGCTATCGCCCAACCCAAGCACTGCCTTCCCAAGCATTTTCATTCTCGGCCACTTTCATAGGTGTGCTGCAACGCGTTATCGCCACAGAGGCTGCTGTTGTTGCCTTCAAAAGGCCCCCTGAGAGGGAAAACATGCTGGAACAGGGTCTGCCTGCTGAGAGGACTGCATGAGACCTCACAGCCATAGCTGGCTTCCTGCACTTCCTCCTCCCTTTTACTGATGAAAGCAATGAGTTACGAAATGGGCACTGGAGTGTCATCAGATGGCGCCTGCCATATCTAAACCCGGTACCTCAGGAAACTACGGGATTCAGTTAAGGGTATAACCTGGTGATTACAGTGCCCAAGGGCTTCAGCATTCGCTGCCCTGGTAGCAGAGGGATCTCTGCTCACTTCCCTCCTGGGCAGCCTGAGGCTACAGTGCTCTGTGCCGGCCTCAGAGATGTTTCTTTAACACTCACCCGCAATTAAGTCGATTTTGGGGTGAGATACCCTCAAATGATCTTCCAGAAGATCAATCAGAGCCCTGAATGCCGCGGGATCCTTCAGCAGGGGGCTGATATCGCTGCAAAGAGAGGGAGAGCTCTGTTAGCTGCATCCAGGTGGCCATCGGCTGAGCTCCGATGCAGGGGGGATGCACGTCCTGCATCCTTGTGCTGCCTGGAGTGGGCAAGGGGAGGGACGGGCAGCGCGCCTCTGCCTTGGGTCCATCCCCATCCCCATCCCCATCCCGGTCCCCGTCCCGCTCGCACCGGAAGAGCACGCCGGGCACCGGGAAGTCGGGGAAGGGCCGCACGCGGTCCCGCACCCGTC